GCTGCATTCCAGCCCAGGCAACAGTGCGAGCCTCTGTCTCAAATAAATAAATAAAAGTGTTGATAGTGGAGATACAGGTAACTCTCTTGAAGAATTTTGCCTTAAATGGGATTAGAGAAATAAGTGCTAGATGAGGATGTAGGTTGGGAGAAATTATTGCATGTTTGTAACTTCATAATGGCAACAATTCAGTAGAGGAAAAAATAAATGAGTGAGAGGATAAGTTGCCGGAAGAATGTCCTTGAATAGGTGAGAAGGAATGGAGTACATATATTATAATAAATAGCACCTATAATTGTATTAGTTATCCCAAAACTTAGCAGCTTAAAAGAATAAACATTGATTATTTCATACAATTTTTGTGGGTCAGGAACTTGGGTATGGCTGAGCTGGGTGATTCTGAAGGTAACAGCCAAGATGTCATCCAGAGATATATCTGAAGCCTTAACTGAGACTGGAGGATGTGCCTCCAAGATGACTGACTCACATGAACAGCAAGTTGATGCTGGCTTTTGGCAGGAGGCCGTAGTTCTTTGTCATGTGGACACCTCCATAGGACTACTTGAGTCTTCGTAAGGCCCCACATGGCACCTGGCTTCTCCCAGAGCAAGCGTCTCTTCAAGAGAGAGCAAGGCAAACACTACCTGGTTTTAGAAGTCATATTCCATTATTCCTGTGATACTGTCTTGGTCACACAAGTCAGCCCTATTCAGTGTGAGAGGGGATGTCACAGGGTAAGACTACCAGGAAGTGAGGATCAGTAGAGGGCAGCTTGGTTGCTGGCTATCATACAAGTTAGTTAATTTAAAAGTGAAACATAGCAAGCAGTTAATATTTGAACACATGAAGGCAAAATGAATACAAATTTTAAAAGACTAGGGGTTGAAAAAACTTGTGGTTAGAGTGCTAAAGAATTAACAAGAAATATTAAAAGCATTTCCTTTTGTGCGGAGAGGTCTTGCTGTGTTACTGAAGTTGAACTTGAACTCCTGGGCTCAAATGATCCTTCCACCTCAGCCTCCCCAGTAGATGGGACTACAGATGTGTCACTGTGCCTGGCTTATTGAAAACATTTTTTTTTTTTGAGATGGAGTCTTGCTCTGTCGCCGAGGTTAGAATGCAAAGGCGCGATCTTGGCTCACTGCAACCTCCATCTCCTGGGTTCAAGCAATTCTCCTACCTCAACCTCCCAAGTAGCTGGGATTCCAGGTGCCTGCCACCACGCCCAGCTAATTTTTGCATTTTTAGTAGAGATGGGGCTTCACCACGTTGACCAGGCTGGTCTCGATCTCCTGACCTCAGGTGATCCTCCCTCCTTGGCCTCCCAAAGTGCTGGGATTACAGGCGTGAGCCACTGCGCCCGGCCTGAAAGCATTTTTTAGCAGCAGTTGAAATGACACAAAAATAATTGTTTATACGTTTGCATAACTTTTCATCTGAAATGTGTTATATACTGTGTGGTTTTGGTTTTTTTCTGCCTAGGGGCAATGAAAACTATTCTAGGTGATCAACGAAAACAGATGCTCCAAAAATACAAAGAAGAAAAGCAGCTTCAAAAATTGAAAGAGCAGAGAGAGAAAGCTAAACGAGGAATATTTAAAGTGGGTCGTTATAGACCTGATATGCCTTGTTTTCTTTTATCAAACCAGAATGCTGTGAAAGCTGAGCCAAAAAAGGTAAATTTAGTGTCTTAATATAAAGGAATAGTTTTTTATTTGGAATTTTCTTCAAGACATTAAGTGACTAAAATAACCCCTTTCCCTTAGTCTCTTTATTAACTGGTTGGTAGAAGGTGGGAATGACATAATAGTCGCTCACAAGAATGAAAATCAGGTCCCTTAAGATAGCTGTAGGTAAGCTGAGATAGAATAAAACTAGGAAAATGGGTAGAACCAGGCTAAAACAATGTTATGCAAAGGATTTGTTGTTTATCCGGTAGGTTATGCAGAATCAGGAGAAGTTTATAAATGACGGTAGTGCCATTGTCAAATTAATAATTCAGGAAAATACCATAGCCCTAAAGATTTTGGTCTGGAAAGAGAAACATTTATAGATAGGGAGACCAATTGTGAGACTATTGTAATAGAATAGATGGAAAGGGGCAGTGGGTTTTAAAAGGAAAAAATAGGTGTAAGACATCTAAATAAAGGCATTTGACAGGATTGGTGGCCAAGTAGATGGTGAGGGGTAAAGGAAATTGAAAAAGCAGAGAGAAGCTCTGCTGCTAAAAGAGATAAGACAAGAAAAGGAACAGGCTTAAGTGGGTGCATGTTAATAACCTTTTAAAAAATCTTAAACTTGTGTGGGCCACCTAGATATTAGCAAACATTTGGAAAGCTGAATGGAAATCGGTGCTAAGATGTTGATTTAGGATATAATATTGGGAGTATGGATGGGTGTTTAAGCTGTAGGACTAAGTGAGACCATTCCAATAAGGATATATAAAATTATGAAAAAGTGGGCTCTAGAGAGCACCTTTAGGTAGGCAGAAGTCCGGTACCAGGCTGAGGACTGGTCAGAGAGGCAGGAGAACTAAAAGAGAGGATAGAAGCTCATATTAATGATTCCAATACCTGGAAAATATGGTTTGAAATTTCTTTCTCACTGAGAAATATGAGTAATTTTTGAAGTTACTAACTTAATTTAAATCAAGCTAGAACCAGAAAAAGGAATTTTAAGTATCTTTTTGCTATAAGAGATTAAGGATAAAATTTAACTTTAAAATGGGAACTTTATTTTGTAATAAGTTATGCAAGTAAACCTTTACCAGTTCATTTTTTTTTTTTAAGTTTATCTTCTTTTGACTATTCTAAGGCTATTCCATCTTCTGTACGGATTACAAGGTCAAAGGCCAAAGACCAAATGGAGCAGACTAAGGTATAGTTGATAGCAGATAATTGTTACTAAAATGATAAAGTGTACTTTTTTAGTAAGTAAATTCATTTTCAATCTAGTATCAGATTCAAACATAATGATTAATTTACTAGAGTTAACGGGTACCAAAGTCACTGTTCTTGGTATGGTGACGTAGAGCAATTTCACTTAAAATATTTGCTCCAACATTCCTTATGAGATCCATGGCAAACTGTCTTTGTGTCACACTCTTGTTTACTGGGCTCCTATTATGCATTCCAAGTTACCTGCATGAAATGCAGATGGGGAGGAAAGCACACAGGGTAGGTGTTATAAACTTATGGGTCTTCAAAATACTGTAATAGAGATATTAGGAGGGTTACTAAAACAAAGTGAAGTGGGCAAGAAGGGAAATAGTATACTTCTTTATCAGATGAGGAAGCTAAGTTCCATATATGCATATATATTTTGCATTGCTATGATGTTCCTGGTGTTGTAGGCTTTTGGATATAATAAACTAAATTCCCTTTGTGGAACTTACATGTAAGGCTTTAAGAAAAAATAAATACATAATATGTCAGAAGATGGTAAGTATTATGGAAGAGATGGGGAGATGGGGTGTACTAGAAGTAGGTGTGGGGTAGAATTTTGATTGGACAGTTAAGGAAGGCCTCCCTGAGATGAAAGCCTTTTGAGTGAAGTCATTATGGATAGTGGAGGAGAGACCATGGGAAAGAGCTTTTTATCCAGGAGAAGCATTTCCTAGGCAAAATTAGAAGGTCTTGAAGTGAAAACATGTCTAGGAGTGTTTAAGGACCTTCAGAAGGCAAGTTATAGTTAGCTGTTTTTAAAAGCTTGGGTTATTCGCATTTTCTTAGTTCTGTGATTCTGGAAAAGGATGTAACCTTTTTTGGAAGCTTAAGGGAAAGCTTTTCTTTCTCATTTTATTTGGGATAGTTTTTTGTTGTTGGGTTATTTACAGTGATCAGATTTCAGATGAGGAATCAATTTACAGATTAAAAATATGATGGTTTGATTCATTATGCAATTAAATCATGTAGCACCTAATCTCTTAAATAGATTGATAATGAGAGTGATGTTCAAGCAATCCAACCTGGTCAAAGACAAACTTCTGAAAAGAAAGTGTCAAACAAAGAGAAAAAAGGTAGGAATATTAGCAATTACTATAAATCCTCTGAGGTTACCATGGCCATAATTTTTTTTAAGTGTCCAGAAGGTCAACTGGAATTTATTTGTTTGCGACAGAGTCTTGCTTTGTCGCCGAGGTTGGAGTGCAGTGGCGCAATCATAGCTCACTGGAGCCTCCACCTCCTGGGCTCAAGTGAACCTCCCACCTCAGCTTCCTGAGTAGCTGAAACTACAGGTTTGCCACCATGCCCAGCTGATTTTTATATTTTTTGTAGAGACGGGGTTTCACTATGTTACCCAGGCTGGTTTCGAACTGCTGGGCTAAAGTGATCCTCCTGCCTCCCGAGTAGCTGGGACTACAGGCATGCACTACCGTGCCTGGCTTCACAGCCGTAATTTAATAACTACAAGGGACATTCAATTTGGTTATTTTTTTTTCCCCACAGTCGTGCAGCCTGTAATGCCCATGTCGTTGAGAATGACTCGATCAGCTACTCAAGCGGCAAAGCAGGTTCCCAGAACGGTCTCATCTACCACAGCAAGAAAGCCAGTCACAAGAGCTGCTAATGGTAAAAACTATTCCTTGATCAGTGACTAAACTAGAATATTTGGTCCTTGAGGTTTTTGCGTTCCATTTCAAAAATCAACAAGTACTTCTTTGAGTAGGAGAGAAGGAAACGGGAAATTCTAATACCTGAAAATAGATTCTGTGCCCTGACTTCTGGTTGGCACACAATGGGTGCCCAAACATTGAAGAACTTAATTAGTATAAGCAGTGTTTCAAAGTGAAAAATTAATGCTCCGAATAAATCACAGTTCATTTATTTGGTGCAATATAATGTAGCCATTAAGAACAGTATTATTAAGGAACACTCAGTGACGTGGTTCATGATATATTATGTGGGCAAAGAAGAGCATGTCAAACTCTGAACAGTAGGATCGCAATTCTAAAAAGCAGTTTGTGAATATGTGGACATAGGACTGGAAAACCATACCCCGAAGTGACAACTGAGTAATGGAATCCTGGGTGATTTGTCATTGTTGTTGTTTGTAGTTTTCTGTATTTTTCTAATTGTCTGTAATAAATATGTACAGGCTGAGCAACCCTAATCAAAACATCCAAAATCCTGAGCACCAACATGACATGACATTCAAAGGTCATATGCTCAAAGGAAATGCTCACTGGAGCATTTCAGATTTTTGTATCAGGTATGCTGAACCTGTAAGTATAGTGTAAATATTCCAAAATCTGGAATCTAAAATATCTCTGATCTCAAGCATTTTGGATAAGGGATACTCAATCTGTATTTGGTATTCAGAGGACAAAGATAAAACACTCTGGTTTTGAAAACAGATGGTTTGTATTTGGCAGGAAATTCCATAACCCCTTTTATAATATGGCTTTTAATCATAAAAATCCTTCAAGACATGTATTCCCACTGTTGCTTCTTTTCCTTTCCCAAGTTACCTAGTATTTTAATGTAGCATTTCTATCTAGTAAAATAAATATTTTGTTGTTTTAGAAAACGAACCAGAAAGAAAGGTGCCAAGTAATAAAGGAAGACCTGCCAAAAATGTAGGAACAAAACCTGACAAGGTAGAGAATAAACATCTTTTTACTTCTAGATGCTTTGAAAATCTCATTGCTGCTTTCATAAAGTTGAAATTAAACATAAAGAACTGCTTCAAGAGGTTAACCTACATGTGTGTTAAAACTTCCTGAACCATAAGAAAGCATCAAGAGGATTTACTCTTGTTGTTTTTCAGGTATCTTATTTTCAGAGCTTTATAGGTAGAGAGAGCATAATTTGGTTAGAAGATGGAGAAAAATAATAAAAACACAGCTGAGAGAAACCTGTATGTGGGAATTAGCCAAGACATAGGGTGAAGTGGGGTGAAATGCATTGACTTTGGATTCATTTAGGCCTGGGTTTGAATACTGTCTCTGCTTCAATTAGCTGTATAACCCTGGGCAAGTTATGTAATTTATGAGGTTGTTTTCTTATTCCTAACATGGAATACCTATGTAGAGTAGTTGTAAGAATTAAATAAACTAAAATTTCTGCCTGCATCTAGCATGGTTGCTAATAAGGTCTTCAAAAAAGATGCCCCATTTGAGGACCCAACCCCTTGGCTTATAATCTATGGTATAATTTATTTCTGGTTTTTTGGGGTTTTTTTGAGACAGTCTTACTCTGTCGCCCAGGCTCAAGTGCAGTGGCGCAATCTTGGCTCACTGCACCTTCCACTTCCCAGGTTCAAGTGATTCTCCTGCCTTAGCCTCTTGAGTAGTTGGGATTATAGGCACACGCCACCACACCCATCTGATTTTTGTATTTTTAGTAGAGATGAGGTTTCACCATGTTGGCCAGGCTGGTCTTGAACTCCTGACCTCAGGTGATCCACC